CAGATATGGAAAACTTGAGGAAATTAAAACTATCAGAACATACAACAAATTCTAACCACACAATAGAGCAAAAAACTAATGTGAAGGACCTGGGAGTGATAATGTCAGAGGATCTCACCTTCAAAGACCACAACAATGTATCTACCTCATCTGCTAGAAAAATGATAGGATGGATAATGAGAACCTTCAAGCACACGATGATTCTCTTCAAATCGCTTGTTCTCTCTAGGCTGGAGTATTGCTGTACATTAACTACCCCCTTAAAGGGAGGTAAAATTGCTGATGTGGAGAATGTACAGAGAACTTTCACAGCATACATAAGTACGATAAAGCACCTAAATTACTGGGAACAATTGAAGTCCCTTGATTTGCATTTCCTGAAATGCAGGTAAGAAAGATGCATGATAATGAACCTTGGAAAATCCTAGAGGGATTAGTACCAAACCTGCACACGAAAATCACTCCCTACGAAAGCAAAAAAACTCGGCAAATGTGTAACATTCCCCCCAGTGAAAAACAGGGGCACCAAGAGTATACTAAGAGAACACAATAAGTGTTAGAGGCCCAAGACTATTGGGATTACCAATAGACCCCTGACTGTCTTCAAGAAGGTGCTGGATAGGCACCTAGTCAGTACCTGATCATTCAGGCTGTGGTTCTTACATCGGTTTACGTGCAGCCAGCAGTAACAGCTGTAGACAGTAATCCTACAGGACTAGTTTGCATAGTTTCCACCAGAGGGCAGGTCTTTGGGTGGGCATGCCCAGGCCTGCCTCACTCTCACTTGCCGCCAACTCAACCTAGAGTTAACAAGTCACGCCACTCTTCTCTCCCTCGTGGGCATGGCCCTCTGGGTCGCCCAGGGCACTTAAACACACTGCCTGTGAACCATGAACTCGAAGTAAGGAGCCTTTGAAGCCTTACCACTGAACCCCGCTACCACACACACACATAATCAGTCCATGATATTGGTGGAAGCAGTGGTCGCAGTAGTTGTTTGCCAGGTGGGAAAAAGGAAGGAAGGATCATGATGTTTCTACTTCATCACCCCATACAAGAAGCATCCATGTCTCTATGCATTCTCCCTAAGTCGTGTCTGCAAGTTTCATCATTCAGACAGGATTAGCAGGATCCAGGAAGAAATCTGCTGAATTTTCCTTGAGAAATCTTCATGGAATCCCCTGCAAATCCACTCCACAGTGTCCCACGCTGTTCTCAGTCACGTGTTCGGCGTCACCTGTATGTTTCTGCTGTTGTTGTTCAGCTCATCACAGCTATTTCAGCAGGTCGGAGGTGAGTTTGTGAGGTGATTTCTGTGTCCATGGCAGTAGAATCTGCGCTATCTTCCAAGTATGTGAGTAGCAAGGAGGGCACGGCGGAGTCTTTGCTCACCCATGCTCATCTCATGCCACTACTCTCCATCACCACCACTCATGCCCCCTCTGCTTTTTTTTTTGTGAATTCAGTGTGAATTCTTTGCCAGAGCTGTGTATCCGAGTGCCTGAGGTCTCTCGAAGCCATGTGGATCATGAAGCCACGTGTGGACAAGCCATGTGGAGCGAGTCATGTGGAGCGAGCCATGGGGTTACCAAGCCAGTTTGTCACCATGCCACATGCCGTTGTCTGCTGCCTGCACCACTCCACTGATGTCATGATGCTGCCTGACGTCACCTCATGACGGCACCCACAACGTCTGCCCGACATCATCCCAGGATATATGCCCAACGTTGCCCATAACGTCTGCCCAATGCCACTCCGATGTCACCATCCTGGCCAATGCCACTCAGGACATCTGCCCGACGTCATCTCATGATGCCTGTAACATCACTGTGCTGCCCAACATTACTCCAGGACATCACCCTGGACATCTGCCCGACGTCGCCCTGGACGTCTGCCTGATGTCGCCCTGGACGTCACTTCGTGATGTTACCCCACGACATCCCTCACAATATCACGCCTGACATCACCACAGGACGTTACACCGACAGTGTTATAGTTTGACAGTGAGCAATTTGTTTCAGTATTGTCGAGAAGATTGAGAGAGATGTGTCATGTGTTAATTCCTCTCAGTCAGTGTTCTCACATGTTCACATCTTTTGCCAGTGCAAGCCATGCAGTAACTGCATGTGCAGTGCAGGTGTGTGCAGTTTTCTGTGTACTGTGTGGTCTGAGCCCAGATGTGTGTACTCACCTAGTTGTACTCACCTAGTTGAGGTTGCAGGGGTCGAGTCCAAGCTCCTGACCCTGCCTCTTCACTGGTCGCTACTAGGTCACTCTCCCTGAACCATGAGCTTTATCGTACCTCTGCTTAAACCTATGTATGGATCCTGCCTCCACTACATCGTTTCCCAAACTATTCCACTTCCTGACTACTCTGTGGCTAAAGAAATACTTCCTAACATCCCTTTGATTCATCTGTGTCTTTAGCTTCCAACTGTGTCCCCGTGTTGCTGTGTCCAGTCTCTGGAACATCCTGTCTTTGTCCACCTTGTCAATTCCTCTCAGTATTTTGTAAGTCATTATCATGTCCCCCCTATCTCTCCTGTCCTCCAGTGTCGTCAGGTTGATTTCCCTTAACCTCTCCTCATAGGACATACCACTTAACTCTAGGACTAGTCTTGTTGCAAACCTTTGCACTTTCTCTAGTTTCTTTACATGCTTGGCTAGGTGTGGGTTCCAAACTGGTGCCGCATACTCCAATATGGGCCTAACGTACACGGTGTACAGGGTCCTGAACGATTCCTTATTAAGAAGTTGGAATGCTGTTCTGAGGTTTGCCAGGCGCCCATATGCTGCAGCAGTTATTTGGTTGATGTGCGCTTCAGGAGATGTGCCTGGTGTTATACTCACCCCAAGATCTTTTTCCTTGAGTGATGTTTGTAGTCTCTGGCCCCCTAGACTGTACTCCGTCTGCGGTCTTCTTTGCCCTTCCCCAATCCTCATGACTTTGCACTTGGTGGGATTGAACTCCAGGAGCCAGTTGCTGGACCAGGTCTGCAGCCTGTCCAGATCCCTTTGTATTTCCGCCTGGTCTTCGATCGAATGAACTCTTCTCGTCAACTTCACGTCATCTGCAAACAGGGACACCTCGGAGTTTATTCCTTCCGTCATGTCGTTCACAAATACCAGAAACAGCACTGGTCCTAGGACTGACCCCTGTGGGACCCCGCTGGTCACAGGTGCCCACTCTGATACCTCGCCATGTACCATTACTCGCTGCTGTCTTCCTGATAAGTATTCCCTGATCCATTGCAGTGCTTTCCCTGTTATCCCTGCTTGGCCCTCCAGTTTTTGCACTAATCTCTTGTGTGGTACTGTGTCAAACGCCTTCTTGCAGTCCAAGAAAATGCTATCTACCCACCCCTCTCTCTCCTGTCTTACTGCTGTCACCATGTCATAGAACTCCAGTAGGTTTGTGACACAGGATTTCCCGTCTCTGAAACCATGTTGGCTGCTGGTGATGAGATCATTCCTTTCTAGATGTTCCACCATTCTTCTCCTGACAATCTTTTCCAAGATTTTGCATGCTATACATGTCAGTGACACTGGTCTGTAGTTTAGTGCTTCATGTCTGTCTCCTTTTTTAAAGATTGGGACTACATTTGCTGTCTTCCATGCCTCAGGCAATCTCCTTGTTTCGATAGATGTATTGAATATTGTTGTTAGGGGTACACATAGTGCCTCTGCTCCCTCTCTCAGGACCCATGGAGAGATGTTATCTGGCCCCATTGCCTTTGAGGTATCTAGCTCACTCAGAAGCCTCTTCACTTCTTCCTCGGTTGTGTGTACTGTGTCCAGCACATGGTGGTGTACCCCACCTCTCCGTCTTTCTGGAGCCCCTTCTGTCTCCTCTGTGAACACTTCTTTGAATCTCTTTTTGAGTTCCTCACATACTTCACAGTCATTTCTTGTTGTCTCTCCTCCTTCCTTCCTTAGCCTGATTACCTGGTCCTTGACGATTGTTTTCTTCCTGATATGGCTGTATAACAGCTTCGGGTCAGATTTGGCTTTTGCTATGTCGTTTTCATATCGACGTTGGGCCTCCCTTCTTATCTGTGCATATTCGTTTCTGGCTCTACGACTGCTCTCCTTATTCTCCTGGGTCCTTTGCCTTCTATATTTCTTCCATTCCCTAGCACACTTGGTTTTTGCCTCCTTGCATCTTTGGGTGAACCATGGGCTCATCCTGGCTTTTTCATTATTCCTGTTACCCTTGGGTACAAACCTCTCCTCAGCCTCCTTGCACATTGTTGCTACATATTCCATCATCTCATTAACTGGCTTCCCTGCCAGTTCTCTGTCCCACTGAACCTCATTCAGGAAGTTCCTCATTCCTGTGTAGTCCCCTTTCCTGTAGTTTGGTTTCATTTGTCCTGGCCTTCCTGCTTCCCCCTCCACTTGTAGCTCTACTGTGTATTCGAAGCTCAAAACCACATGATCGCTGGCCCCAAGGGGTCTTTCATATGTGATGTCCTCAATATCTGCACTACTCAAGGTGAATACTAAGTCCAGTCTTGCTGGTTCATCCTCTCCTCTCTCTCTTGTAGTGTCCCTTACGTGTTGGTACATGAAGTTTTCCAGTACCACCTCCATCATCTTAGCCCTCCATGTATCTTGGCCCCCATGTGGCTCCAAGTTCTCCCATTCGATCTCCTTGTGGTTAAAGTCGCCCATGATCAGGAGCTTTGCCCTGCATGCATGAGCTCTTCTGGCCACTGCAGCCAGTGTGTCAACCATCGCTCTATTGCTCTCGTCATACTCTTGCCTTGGCCTCCTGCTGTTCTGTGGTGGGTTATACATCACTGCAATTATCACCTTGGGACCTCCAGAGTGAAACGCTCCCGCTATGTAATCACTTTCTTCTCCGCTGTCTCCTCTCTCCAGCTCATCAAAATTCCATCGGTGTTTGATCAGCAATGCCACTCCTCCACCCCCCCTGCTCCTTCTGTCTTTTCTCAGGATCTGGTATCCCGCTGGAAAGATGGCATCTGTTATCTTACCTGTAAGCTTGGTTTCTGTGATCGCTATGATGTCTGGTGATGCCTCTGACTCTTTCGTGCCACTCCTCCCACTTGTTTGTTATTCCATCAGCATTTGTGTACCATACCTTCAGTTTCCTTTCCAACACTGTGGTTTGGGGGGCCTGTGGGGGTGGGAGACCTGGTAACATACTGTGGGATTCTATGGTTGGGGGTTGGGTGGAAGCTGTGGGTATGGATTGTATTGTGTTGGGATGGTGTGATAGGTTGTGGGGTTCTGAGGATAGTTGTGTGCGCGCTTGCCCTTGCTGCTCTGTTCTGCTCTGACTGACCTCTACTGGTTCCATCCTAGTCTCCTTTCCTAGCTCCTTTCGCTTTTTTGTCCTCTCCCTCAGCTGCTGTCTCTCTGAGTCCTGTCTCTGTCTAGGAACACCTTCTTGTACTCTTCCGAGCTTTTCAACCGTGGTTTCTCTTGGAGGATCCTGTTCCGCACTGTTTTTGTCCTGAGAATCAGCTTGATCGGTCAGTTTCTCCCCTTCAAGTACCCCCCTATTCTCTGAAAATTTACAATCTCATCCATGTCTTCTCCCCCTATTTCCGTGATGATTTTCTCAATCTCCTTTCTTTCTTCCTGCCGTGTTTCAGTGTGCGTCCTTTCCTCTCTCTCCTGAAGCCCATGGATAATAACTGATTTTGCCCTTTCCTCCTCCCATTGCCTCTCCCTCTGTGACTCTGGTTCCTGTCTGTATGTGGTCATTTTCTCCCTTGATTTTTCCAGTGGCTCTTGGTAGCATGGTTGTGCCTCAGCATTCGACCTATCTCCCTCTCCATCTGCACCCATCTGCTCTTCCCTTCCACTCCCTGGCCCTTCTTTGCAGGCTGATATGACCTTAACATAATTCATACCTCCTTCCTTCCTGTTCAGCCTCTCAGCTTCGTATGGTGTGTCTTCTCTGGTCACTACCCCTGAGACTTGCTTCAGCCTGTTTACTTCAAATTCTAGGACCTTTACCCTGGCTACTGCAGTTTCGACTTGTGCCTCCCAATTCTTCGTCTCCTTCTCCAACCTCTTTTCCCATTTCACAGAGCTCTTTCTCCATTTTTTTTTAGAAAGCTCTCCTAATTTTCTCTCCCATTCTTGCTCTATCCTTTTCCACTGCTCCTCCATCCATTCCTCCCTACCAGTACCATTGTCATCTGATCCCTGATTCGCGAGTCCCAACCATTTTTTTTTTTTTAGTGAAAGAGAGAGAGAAAGAGAAAAAGTAAAAGGGATGTAGAGAGTAGAGAGAGAGAGATGGATAGGCTCAATGTGCTCCGCCAAATTAGAGAAGTTCAGTTTTTTAGAAAGCCGCTAAATTGACTTCATTCGGGCTCAGACTTCAGAGCGCTAAGGTTAACCAGTACCATTGGGGATTGATCCCGGGAATGAGAGTCCGCAACGCAGTTTAAGAGGAAAGAGGGGGAGAGGGGAAAGAGAAGAAAGGCCAAAAGGGGGAGAGGGAGAGAGGGAGAGAAGAGAGAGAGAGAGAGAGAGAGAGAGAGGAGAAAGAGAGGAGAGAGGAGAAAGAGAGAGAAGAGAGAGAGAGAGAGGACAGAGAGAAGAAGAGAGAGAAGAGGAGAGAGAGAGAGAGACAGAGGAGAGGGGAGAAAGGGAAGAGGAGAGAGGGAGAGAAGGAGAGACAGAGAAAGAGAGACAGAGAGAGACAGAGAAGAGAGAGAGAGAGAGAGAGAGGATGACTTGAACGCTGCTCAAAGGGAGAGGAGAGAGAGAGAGAGAGGGGAGAGAGAGAGAGAGAGAGCAGAGAGAGAGAGAGGAGAGAGAGAGGAGAGAGAGACGAGAGACAGAGAGAGCAGAGAGAGAGAGACAGAGAGAGAGAGAGAGAGAGACAGAGAGAGAGACAGAGAGAGAGACAGAGAGAGACAGAGAGAGACAGAGAAGAGAGGAGAGAGGGAGACAGAAGAGAAGAGAGAGAGACAGAGAGAGAGAAGAGAGGACAGAGAGAGAAGAGGAGACAGAGAGAGAGAGAGACAGAGAGACAGAGGGACAGAGAGAGCAGAGAGAGAGACAGGAGACAGGAGAAGAGACAGAGAGAGAGACAGAGAGGAGACAGAGAGACAGAGAGAGAGAAGAGAGAGACAGAGAGAGAGAAGAGAGAGAGGATGACTTGGACGCTGCTCAAATGGGAGAGAGAGAGAGAGAGAGAGAGAGAGAGAGAGAGAGAGAGAGGAAGAGAGAAAGAGAGAGGAGAGGAGAGGGAGAGAGATGGGGGGGGGAAAAGGGTTAGAGGGTCACTTCACAGGAAGGTGTGAAATCCTGTATATGTGTGCGTGTGTGTGTGTGTGTGTGTGTGCGTGCGTGCATGTGTGTGTGTGCATGTACTCACCTAGTTCTCACCTAGTTGAGGTTGTGGGGGTCGAGTCCGAGCTCCTGGCCCCGCCTCTTCACTGATCGCTACTAGGTCACTCTCCCTGAGCTGTGAGCTTTATCATACCTCTGCTTAAACCTATGTATGGATCCTGCCTCCACTACATCGCTTCCCAACTATTCCACTTACTGACTACTCTGTGGCTGAAGAAATACTTCCTAACATCCCTGTGATTCATCTGTGTCTTCAGCTTCCAACTGTGTCCCCTTGTTACTGTGTCCAATCTCTGGAACATCCTGTCTTTGTCCACCTTGTCAATTCCTCTCAGTATTTTGCATGTCGTTATCATGTCCCCCCTCTCTCTCCTGTCCTCCAGTGTAGTCAGGTTGATTTCCCTTAACCTCTCCTCATAGGACATACCTCTTAGCTCTGGGACTAGTCTTGTTGCAAACCTTTGCACTTTCTCTAGTTTCTTTACGTGCTTGGCTAGGTGTGGGTTCCAAACTGGTGCCGCATACTCCAATATGGGCCTAACGTACATGGTGTACAGGGTCCTGAATGATTCCTTATTAAGATGTCGGAATGCTGTTCTGAGGTTTGCTAGGCGCCCATATGCTGTAGCAGTTATTTGGTTGATGTGCGCTTCAGGAGATGTGCCTGGTGTTATACTCACCCCAAGATCTTTTTCCTTGAGTGAGGTTTGTAGTCTCTGGCCCCCTAGACTGTACTCCGTCTGCGGTCTTCTTTGCCCTTCCCCAATCTTCATGACTTTGCACTTGGTGGGATTGAACTCCAGGAGCCAATTGCTGGACCAGGTCTGCAGCCTGTCCAGATCCCTTTGTAGTTCTGCCTGGTCTTCGATCAAGTGAATTCTTCTCATCAACTTCACGTCATCTGCAAACAGGGACACCTCAGAGTCTATTCCTTCCATCATGTTGTTCACAAATACCAGAAACAGCACTGGTCCTAGGACTGACCCCTGCGGGACCCCGCTGGTCACAGGTGCCCACTCTGACACCTCGCCACGTACCATGACTCGCTGCTGTCTTCCTGACAAGTATTCCCTGATCCATTGTAGTGCCTTCCCTGTTATCCCTGCTTGGTCCTCCTGTTTTTGCACCAATCTCTTGTGTGGCACTGTGTCAAACGCCTTCTTGCAGTCCAAGAAAATAGGTTTGTGACACAGGATTTCCCATCCCCGAAACCATGTTGGCTGTGTGTGTGTGTGTGTGTGTGTGTGTGTGTGTGTGTGTGTGTGTGTGTGTGTGTGTGGTGTGTGTGTGTTGTGCGTGTGTGTGTGCGTGTGTGGTGCGTGTGTGCGTGTGTGCGTGCGTGCGTGCGTGCTGTGTGCGTGCGTGTGTGATGTGTGGTGTGTGTGTGTGTGTGTGTGTGTGTGTGTGTGTGTGTGGTGTGTGTGTGTGTGTGTGTGTGTGTGTGTGTGTGTGTGTGTGTGTGTGTGAGTGTGGTGTGTGAGAGTGTGTGTGTGTGTGAGAGTGTTGTGTGTGTGAGAGTGTGTGTGTGTGTGAGAGTGTGTGTGTGTGTGAGAGTGTGTGTGTGAGAGTGTGTGTGTGTGAGAGTGTGTGTGTAGTGTGTGTGTGAGAGTGTGTGTGTGTGAGAGTGTGTGTGTGTGAGAGTGTGTGTGTGTGAGTGTGTGTGTGAGAGTGTGAGAGTGTGTGTGTGTGTGTGAGAGTGTGAGAGTGTGAGAGTGTGAGAGTGAGAGTGTGTGAGAGTGATGAGAGTGTGGGAGTGTGTGAGAGTGTGTGGGAGTGAGTGAGAGTGTGTGGGAGTGAGTGAGAGTGTGTGGGAGTGAGTGTGTGAGTGTGAGTGTGAGTGTGAGTGTGAGTGTGTGTTTGTGTGTGTGTGTGTGTGTGTGTGTGTGTAACTACAGTCTATCTGAGCCAAGACCTGTGTGTTACATGTCACCCGTTGTGACCACTGACTGCTGACATTAGTCAGTCCAGACACCACCATGCCTGAGTCGTACCTGCTACTACTCCCCGATGACTCGTTTCACTCCACCTCCTGACTGTCAGAGGGGTTATATATAGAAAACCAGTCTGAGGATGCTTAGACTGACCTCTGCTATGACTCCAACTCTGTCGAGAGAATGACACCGTCAAACCACAGTAGCCTTATCAGCAGGCAACTGCGACTCATGTCACAGCTTCAGTGAGCAGCCTGCACAAAGATAATGTCACTTAGACTGCTAGCCTGCTCACTCCAGTTATGGTGTATGCTGCTACAACTCCCAGATATTTTGCCTGAGTTGTCTCTGCTATGACTCGCTCCACTCTTGCCAGCAGTGACAGCCCCAGTTGAGAAATATCCTCCTGAGTTGCTTGCCAGAAGTAGTCCTGCCCAGTTGCCGAGCACTGATGATGCCTCACTCAAGGATACCAGCAGGTTGTGACCCAGGTTGAGTGAACCCTGCAGCAACTACTCCACGATGACTACTTCACCGTTCCAGAGGAGACTGTACCCTGTTACATCATAACTCAGCTGCAGCAGTGTCTCCTGTGTTGCAGTATCTGTCCAGATGCAGGAAGGCATGCAGTGATGCCCGCTGAGGCTCATTGCCTTGGGCCACGATATTTTAACACCCCTCTTTCTTTTCTTCCCTTCCTGTAGGAAGTTTTCTTTTTGTCCATGTCTACAGCTATACAGGTACCATCCGAAAATATCAAAAAAGGCACAATACCGTGACTGGAACGATACACAAATAACCCGCACATAAAAGAGAGAAGCTTACGACGATGTTTCGGTCCGACTTGGACCATTGACAAAGTCACACTGTCCATCCGACTTACGACCGAGCTTGGTTCCGACCAACCGGTCGTGAGTGAAAATCGACGAAAGTCGAACCTTAGAAAATTGCCGATAGGGATACTTCAAAAATTATATCTTAATTTTAATTTGTTTTCACAATTTAGGTGAATAACTTACTTCCAAAATAATAGCTAGGACCTATAAATACTTTGTGGACACCACCGGCCATAAGGCTTATTATCCCTTCTTTCGTCACTCTTATGAGAGAAAACAGATCTAGCACGTGGGCAAACTGTAATAGACACTCATAGGTTATGAAAACACTGAGAAAAAGGGATTTTTTTCAGGACAAAAAAAAAGTGATACCTGAGTTTCGAACTTCTCCCAACTCGACCAATTGTGTAAGTGTATTATTGTAAATGCTT